TTAGTAAAACATTGAGAAACTCATTGTACATGATGAATTACAAACTATTTTGCAAAATCAAGCCCAAAAGCTATGCCAATTGTAGTAAACAAAACTTAAAACTTAGATAACATGACTTGCATGTAATGACATGAATTCCCACCTTCCAAAACATGATCAAATGAGTCATCAAGCTCAAAAACAAGTTGAATTCTTTGAACCAAACTAAGATATGAACATGCATATGAGAATTTTTGTAAAAACAACTTCAAAACTTCATGATATGCACATGCATGTACGATTTGAGCTGCAATTCTTTAATCCTAGCTCATTCTCATGTTAATCCACCTCCTTTACTTGAATTCTTACAAAAATAACATAATTGCACAATTAAGGGTTGAACTTCTTACCTTAGATGCTCAACTATGGTCTCTCTAGAGTTATTTGGTTGAAATTCCTAGCCAAATCTCCAAATTCTCGATCAACTCTTATGTTGAAGCCACTCTCCTCTTAGTCTCTTTCTCTCTCTCTCTCTACACGTTTGAACTCAATTAAGAGGAAATGGGAGTGAAAAAAGTGTATATGAGGTGTTGAGGTGGCCTCATATAGGTTCGACTAATGGCCTAATTACTTTGTTGATCAACTAGTCAATTGGGTATTAATTTATTTTAATTTAATCGTTCCGAATCGAATTTCAATTAAACCTACCACAAAATTCTACAAATTCCAAATAACACATAAATCAAGTCAATTTCCGAATCGGAAGCTGATAAGGCTTTTAATTCGCAAACTGAAACGGAAACATGAACAGATCTTCTTACGAGGGACAGATAAAAGTACAATAATGCATCACACATGCAATTAATTCAGGATTTGATCTTAATAACTTATTACACATATTAAATCATGGATTGACGTTAATCATGGGTCGGGGTTGTTACAATCTTCCCCCCTTAAAGAGTTTGGTCCTCCAAACTCGAATTACCTTCATTTTGGAAGACTACCAGGTCCAAAGGAAACAGTTCAGGGTATCTTTTCATCATATCTTCCTTTATCTCCCAAGTTGCATAGGTTCCTCCATGATTCTGCCAATCGACTTTTACCAATGGAATTTCCCTGTTTCTCAATCTCTTGATTCTTCGGTTAACAATTTGTATTGGCCTCTCTTCGTACGTATAGTTATCTTTTAGGAGCACATGAGTTGGTCCTATCACATGGAGTGGATCTCGTAAGTAATCTCAAAGCATTAAAACATGAAAGACGTTGTGTATGTTTTCCATCACCGGAGGTAAGGCTATCCGGTATGTTACTGAATTGATCCTCTCAAGAATTTCATATGGTCCGATGTATCTCGGTGCTAACTTGCCTTTTACCCCAAATCGCGTTTGTCTTTTCACAGGAGTTACTTTTATGAACACATGATCCCCGACTTCATATTCTCTATCTCTCCTGCGGACATCTGCATAACTCTTTTGGCGGCTTTGTGCAGTTTTCAATCTCTGTCAAATCAATTGCATGTTTTCAGTGGTTTCTTGCACAAGTTCTGGGCCCAACAATGGTTTGTCACCTACTTTAGCCCAACAGATAGGAGAACGACATTTCGTTCCAAACAGAGCTTCATAAGGAGCCATTCAAATACTTGAATGATAGCTGTTATTGTATACAAACTCAGCTAATGGAAGGTAAGTCTCCCAATTCCCTTGGAAATCCAACGCACACATCCGCAGCATATCTTCCAAAGTCTGATTGGATCTTTCGGATTGACCGTCTGTCTATGGATGGTAGGCACTACTCAGTCGCAACTCGGTTCCCAAAGCCTGTTGCAAACTTTGCCAGAATCTTGATGTAAACTTCGAATCTCTATCAGATATAATAAATACTGGTACACGATGTAGCCTCACAATTTAATTCGCATACATGTTAGCTGCCTTGCCCTCATTATAAATAGTTTTAACAGGCAGAAAATGGGTAGATTTAGTCAAACGATCAACAATTACCCAGATAGAATCCATACCTCGAGGAGAGCGAGGAAATCCCACAATAAAGTCCATCGTGATATGTTCACACTTCCATTCCGATATTGGAAACAGTTGAAGTAATCCAGCGGATCGTTGATGTTCAGTTTTAACTTGTTGGCAATGCAAACATCTAGCCACAAAGTCTGTAATACACTTTTTCATTCCCAGCCACTAGAAGTTCTGTTTTAAGTCATGATACATCTTTGTGTTTCCCAGATGCATAGTAAACTTAGAATTGTGAGCTTCAGTCATAACACGTTTGCTTAAATCACAACAATCTGGTACACAAAGGCGATTCTGAAATTTCAACACATTATTGTCAAGCACAAATCCCGGCCTCGGTTTTGAGTCAATTTCATCCACAATCTTTTTCAAAAATGCATCTTGCTGTTGCCTGTCTCTTATCTCTTCAATAATTACGGGTTGAGCAGAAATAGCAGCTAGAATTCCACCCTAGTTGTGCAAAACCACTTCAATTTCATTCTTTTCCAAGTCACATAATAATTCTCTTAGACCGGTGAGCAAACACGACAAATTCCCAATAGACTTCTGGCTCAATGCATCCTCAACAGTATTTGCTTTCCCTGGATGGTACAAAATTTGTAAATCATAGTCCCTGATCAACTCTAACCATCTCCTCTGTCTCATGTTCAGCTCTTTTTAGGTGAAGAAATATTTTAAGCTTTTATGATCAGTGTATACTTCACAAGTCACTCCATATAGATAATGGCGCCAAATTTTTAAAGCAAAAATTACAGCGGCTAATTCAATGTCATGGGTTGGATAGTTTTTTTCATGAGGGCGGAGTTACCGAGAAGCATAAGTAATCAGTTTCCCATTTTGCATTAACACACACCCCAAACCCTTGTAGGAAGCATCATTGTAAATTCGAAACCCATCAGTACCATTAGGCAAAGTCAAAATTGGTGCAGTTACTAATTTGGTCTTCAACTCTTGGAAAGCGGTCTCTCTTTGATCAGTCCAATCAAATGATGTAGCTTTCTGTGTCAATTGAGTGAGCAGTAGAGCAAGTTTGGAAAAATCTTTTACAAATCTGCGATAATAACCTGCAAGGTTGACGAGAAGCATAAGCAATCACTTTACCATTTTGCATTAACACACATCCCAAGCCTTTGTATGAAGCATCACTGTAAATTTGAAAGTCCCATTTACCATTAGGTAGCGACAAAATTGGTGTAGTCACCAGTCTAGTCTTTAGTTCTTGGAAAGCAGACTCTCTTTGATCATTCCAATCAAATGGTACATTTTTCTATGTTAACTGTGTCAATGGCATAACAATTTTGGATAAATCTTTCACAAATCTTCTGTAGTAACCAGCAAGTCCTAGAAAACTTCTCACTTCAGATATATTTGTTTTTCTTGGCCAATTTACAATAGCTTCAATTTTCTACGGGTCTACTGATATGCCATCTTTATTGATCACATGTCCCAAAAATGTCACACAATCAAGCCAAAATTCACATTTAGAGAGTTTTGCATACAATTTCTTTTCTCTTAGAATCTGTAGCACTGTTCTTAAATGATTTCATGTTCTTCCTTGCTTTTAGAATAAATCAATATATCATCAATAAACACAACAATAAACTCATCAAGGAATTGCTTGAACACTCTGTTCATTAAGTCCATGAATGCCGCAGGTGCATTAGTTACCCCAAATGGCATGACCAGGAATTTATAATGCCCATATCTAATTTTGCATGCAGTTTTCTCTACATCTTCTACCTTGACCTTTAACTGGTGATACCCGGATCTAATGTCAATTTTGGAAAACATTTAGGCTCCTTGAAGTTGATCAAACAGGTCATCTATTCGGGGTAATGGGTACTTGTTCTTGACAGTTACTTTATTCAACTCACGGTAATCAATACATAGCCTTAAGGACCCGTCTTTCTTTTTGACAAATAACATTGGAGCACCCTAAGATGAAGTTCTTGGACGAATAAACTTCTTGTCTAGCAGTTCTTGAAGTTGAGTTTTTAATTCTTTCTGTTTAGAAGTGGACATTCTATAAAGAGTCTTGGAGATAGGTTGTGTTCCAGGTATTACATCAATAGTAAACCCAATTTCCTTACCAATTAAATCCTAGGGTAGGTCAGTACGAAATACATCAGGAAATTCATGGACTATGGGTATTGTTCCCACTTTAGTACCATCCGAAGGCTCTGCCAACACGCAACACAAGTAGCCCCGACAACCCTTTCTTAATAATTTTTTGACTTTCATAAATGAAATCAAGTAGAGGTGAGGAACTACCCCGTTTCTAGTAAAAAAAAATTCAGGCATACCAGGTGGTCTAAACACAATAGATTTACTTGCACAGTCAATGGTGGCACAGTATTTAGTCAACAAATCCATACCCAGAATACAATCAAAGTGATCCATGCTTAGGGGCAGCAAATCAACATACAATGTCATTTCACCAATTACAATATCACACGCTGGATACACATAAGCACATATCATAAAACCCCTAGTCGGTGTAGACACAGATAGTAAACAGTTCATAGGTTTTAACGGTCTAGTTCATTTTCAATTAAAAGCATGCGATACAAATGAATGCATGGAATCTGAATCAATCAACACATAAGCATTCTGAGCACAGATAGAAATTATACCTGACACCACAGATTCGGTGTTCTGTACATCACCAGGCACAAGAGCAAATACTGGACCCTGCTTTAAGGTTTCATTTCTGGTGTTAGCTTTTGTGTTCATTCTTGATGCCGAGGCAGATCCGGCCGAACTTGTTACGGGGTGATTGGTATTTTCGAGCCTGATAGGACAATCTCACATCATATGGCCGGTTTTACCACACCTGAAATAGCCACCTAATGCTCGGTAACAAGTCCCCTTGTGTTTTCTACCACATTCTGAGCAAGTTGGTACAGATCCACTACTTTGGGTTGAGCTACTAAAAGATCCCATATTTTGCTTCTTTGAGAATGACCAACCTCTTTTGAAATTAGACCCCGATCTTTTGCCCTACCATTCACTTGTTGGGACAAGAGCTTGTTTCTTTGCTGCCAAAATGGCTTCTGCTATGAATGCCCTATCCAGCACATTTACATACGTAGGTAGGTTAAGGACTCCTACTCGATCTAATATGTCTAAATCCAATCCACCCTCAACTTTGCGGGTTTTCTTATAGTCCGTGTCCACCATGTGAGCAGCAAATCTAGCTAACTCAGTGAACTTAGCCTCGTACTCAGCTACGGACATTCTGCCTTGCTTGAGTTCTTGAAATTCTGAAACCTTTCGGTCCCGAAAACACTGTGGAAAATACTTGTCATAGAAGATTACATTAAATTGAGCCCATGTCATGTTCTCATTACTACTCCGAACTAGCAACCACCATCTACAGGCTTCAGCCTTTAAGGTATAGGTGGCCAACAGAACCTTTTGAGTCTCAGAGCAGGGAAAGACCTCGAATAATTTTTCCATCTCAAGTAGCCATGTTTTTGCCTTGAACGGCTCAATGTCACCTAGGGAAGTTGGTGGTTTCATTTTCATGAACTTCTGAGTCAAGTTGATAATGTCATTGTTGTCCGGTTCAACTTGTACCGGCAGAGGCGGAGGAGGCAAAGGTTGTTGCCTCTATTGTTGCATTATTGCCTCGGTCAAAGCTGCAAGCATCTGTTCCATTCTGTTCATTCGGGCTTCGGATGATTCAACTATTCCATCACTTCTTGTATTTTCCATTTGCTATAGGTAAACGGAACAATATAAACATAGGGAAATAGTCCTTTTACAACATTCAAATCGTTTGTTTCCATATCTTGTGGTTATAATCAGATTTAGTTTTTACTTTCAATGAACACACACTTATACATGCAGATGGCATGCCCCTACTTCTTACTAGGACATCCTAAGCTAATATGGACTTGTGTGTGCGGTAGAACACGTGCTTGATACCACTCTGTCACGGCTCAAATTCGCCCCTATAGGTTTAGTGTTGTAACCGACCAGTAAGCCTTGGATTACCGAAGGCCTTTTAACAAAATAACATGAAATTAGGGCCTGCGGAAGCAATAAACAGAAATATACATAGTCCATTGAGTTGTGAAGACATACATGAGGCAGATATTTTTAAACTTTAATAAAGACACGTGTGACGTCAAAAGATACAGTTGATACACGTCACTCAATGTATTTTACATATAAACAGAAATTTGTTCATAAACAAAACAAAAGAACTAAAGTCTTAAATACAAAAACATGACCACAGGACTTGACATGATCTGGAACCTCATCGGGAGGCACAAAGGGTGGCTGAAAAACACAAAACCTTTCAAGCATCATCTTAAGCCTGGTCGTGCGCCTGGTCACCTACATATAAAATATAAATAGTGAGTGGAAGCCTAGTGAATAATAGCAAAGTAAAAGGTTTTAATGAATGATGTCCATCATAGAGTCAAAAATTAGAGCTTATATCAGAAATAGAGTCTTATGCATATTAAGATTTCAAATCAGCGTAGGCACCCCATTTTTGACTGACCTTAAGACTCAGATGTCCTCGATTGAGCGCTCGGTGATAGTGCATGTTGTGCTCATTTGGAATTTCTGGAGTTTTCGGCTGAGTGCCTTGCCTCCGGGTCTCTGAACTCTTTGTGCTTTGGCTCGGTTTGTGGACCAAACCTTGTTTTTGCTTCCTTGGAGGGAGGGAGAGGACTTGTAGACCATCCTTTTGTGGTCGTAGACCACTTTTCCTGCTTGGAGACCACTTTTTGGTTTTCTCAGCCTTCGGCCGCGCGCCTTATCTCGGGACCGCTTAACATTCTCCGTTTGGCTTGGTTTTCGGACCACGCATTGTCACCTTGGCCTAGAGGGCCACTGTGGTCTGGGAGACCACTTTTGTGGTCGTAAACCACTTTTGGTGCCCGTAGACTAGTTTTCGAGGCTCCCGGCCGCGCGCCTTGCCTCTCGGACTCTCATCTTGCATCATTTTTGGTTTGTTTTTGGTACAAACCTTGTTTTCCTTGTTTGGAAGGTGGTATAAGGGTGGGAGACCACTTTTCTTCTTGCCAGCCAGTTTTCTGGTCAGCCAACTGATTTCTTGGTCTTTGGACCACCTTTTCTGGTCGGCCACCACATCACCACCTTGCTTTCAGTGTGTATACCATCTTCCACCATGGCCGACAGCTTTTCAGCACCTTTTTGGAGATATTTTTAGGCCAGCTGTTACAGTTGGAAGACACATAAGCCATCCTCTATACACGTGTATGGAGGGATGGCTTTAGGCCAAAAGCTTGTCCAACGAGGTTGTTGATTGGTTCTCTATATAAGAGAACCTCCCCTCTCCTCCTCCAGGTTCAGAAAAAGTGCTTGAGCTATACATATACACCTTTGTCTCTATATTGCTCTCGTTCTTCATTTTTGTGCCTTAAAGTGTCATTTTATCATACTATTGCACACAAACACACACTCAAACACCATACCTTTGTTGTTGAGGCTTCTTGAGGTTGGTTTTGGTGCTTTTGGACTGGTTTTGATCCAAGAAAGCTGTTGGAGTGGTAGCCTTGAAGAGGTTCTACAAGGGTGAGTCAACTAACACTTTAACCCTTTGTTTTGATTAAGCTTTTGAACCTATTTGTGTTTTAGCTTGACTTTCTACTGTAAAAAGTTCTAATTTTTAGTCCTTAACTCTTAGGCCTTGTTTTGAGCCATCCCTTTAGGCTCTTGTTTTAGTCTTTGCATGACCTTTCTACCACTGAATTCCAGAGGAATTTTAGTGGTGGAAATGGTGTTTTGAGGTTCCAAATGACCCTCTCCTTGTGTTCTTGAATGCTTGCTTCATTTGCCTCATGTTTGAGCATGTTTGCTAAGCTTGTGTTGGCCACATCTCAGCCTATTTTAGGCCTTATTTTAGCATGGCATACCACTGTTTTGACTTGGTTTTGTCATCCCTTGCATGCCTTATACACTTGTAGTGTAAATCTTGCAAACTAGCTTTGTGTGCTTCATGAAGTAGCACGTCTTTCTAGCTTGTTTTGAGTCCATCTCAGCATGTTCTTGGTGTTGTTTTTCCATGATATACCTCTGTTAAGGTTTGGTTTGATAGCCCCATGCATGCTCCATGCACTTGTGGTGCAATTCCATGAATTAGCCTAATGTGTATCATGCTTTAGACTGTTATTCTAGCATGATTTTGGCTTAACTCTAAGAAGCTTTTGTCCATGTTTTAGCATGATCTAGCTTTGATTTGTGTTGTCTTGGTCATGCATGCCATGCTTTGTATAGCTATAGTGCATTTTAGCTTGTTAGCTTTGTGTATTGAGTCCACTAGCATGCATTGCTTGGCCTATTTGAATGATTTGACATCATTTGTTATGAGATTTCAGTGCATGTTTCATGGTCATACACTCTCATCTTTCACTTAGTCCATGCTTTGAAGGGTTGGTCCTTTATGCCTTAAACATGAGCCATTGCGTAGGCCTTCATGCCTAAGCTTGCGAGCTATCATTTCAGTGTGTTTTTGGGGTTATTTTTCCATAATATAACTCTGATTTTTGTTGGCGAAGCCATCTCATGCTTGGACTTGGTAGGTGTAGTGTAATCCTCCCTTTTGGCCTTGCATATTCCATGCTCCATGCCCTCCATGCTAGCTTATTTTGGCTTCCTTCCATACATGTTTTAGGATCATTTTGACATGCTCTAGGACTGTTTTGGGTTGCCTCGACTATATGCTTCATGTTTTGTATAGCTAGTGCCTATGCTAGCTTTGAGTTTTAGGCACCATAGCATGCTTCATTTGCATCATGTGCATGGTTTGGCATCATTTAATATGACATTTCAGAGCATATAGGACTGCCATGTTCCCACTTCTTTCACTCTTTAAGTGCCTTTGAGTGTTATGCATTGTTGCCTTGTTTCTGGCCTAGCAGGCATGCCATCTTGCCTAGGTCCTTGAGCTTCCAACTTAACATGTTTTGGTCTTTGTTTTGACCTACTTGAGCTCTGTTTGTGGCTGGTTCATGCATTTGTGCCATGTATTGCATGCCCCCTTTGTAGTCCTCTTTACTAGCATCATGCTTTAAGAACCATAGCATGCTTTGCTTGTGTTGTTTGAATGATTTGGCATCATTTCATACTTTATTTCAGAGCTTATAGTGTTGTTACACTCCCACATTTGTCACTCTTTGAGCACTCTTGAGAGTTGTGCTCTTATGCCTAGTTGATGGGCCATTACATTGAGCATGTTTGTCTTGATCTTCATGCCTTAGTTTCATCACCATGGCCACTGATTTGGGCATGACTGGGGTTTGTCCATTTTGGTTTAAGTCCATCGAGCATGTTATGTGAATGTTGTTACATTGCATCATGTTGTTGCATGCTTATGTTGCCTCGCATTGTGTATGCATGCATTAGCATTACTTGCATGTCATTAGCTTTGTTAAGTTGATCATGTCACATTGCATTGAGTATGCCATGTTGCATTGCATTGAGTGCATGCCATTTGCATTGTGTGTGCATGCCCTTACATTGTGTTTAGAATGATTGGGTTGCATTGCATGTTTGCATGCTTGAGTTGCATTGTATTTGTTTGGATTAGGTGTTAATCCAAACATGAGAAACGAAGGACGTTTCATACTTGAAGTGATGAAACGTGCCTCAATTCCCGGTCGCTGACCCTCTTGATCATACATGATAGAGGTCAAGGCTTTATGTGTTTATGTGTGCATTCATTTCATATTGAATTGTGCAATTTGGCTTCTCGGCCATCATGCATCGAGATGCGTGATTGGTGGCCCGAGGGTCGAGAACCACACTCCCTTGAGCTTATGAAATGATAAGGAGGGTGGTTGTGCACACATACCTTGCAAATACATTGGCATGCCCTTTCTTACTCTATGTTGCAGCAAACTGGAGAAGTGCAGTAACAAGTGGTTGGCAGACCAGAAAAACTAGCTGGCCGACCACTTTTTCTGGTCCGCAGCAATGGAAAGTGGTCGGCCAGTAGCTGGCAACATCATCAACTGGTCGGCCATGTTCCTACAGGTCCCCAAGGTGAGTTAGAAGCTTTTTGGAGCTTGGTGCAAGGTTCTGAGAACAGTTGCAAACAGAGGCAAATCGGGACATCGCGTTGGATTTTTGAACGAGGCGACCGAGCATGTATGCACTCCTCATCCGGAGGACCTCTCTTTACTGCTTTCCTTAGCTAGTTTATGCTTTGGTTCTGTATTTAAGTAGTTAATGTGTTTAGCTACTTATTTGTGTTGTAATAACTAGTTAGTTAACTTGTTAGTTAATTAGCTTTGTTTTGTACTTAATTAGTTAGCTTGTCAGTTAATTAATTCTGTTTTGTAATAATTAGTTTAATTAGCTTAGATTAGCTAGTTAGCTTCTTATTCGGACCCTCTGTCGAGAGGGCCAACTGTTGTAATAAGCGTGCGTGTGTGTGATGCATGTCTTCTAACACCCATTTCTTTCTCCCTTTTACTTAACCGCTTACGATGGTTAGCTTTAGGGCATATTTTGATTAGCATACCTTATGCTTGCATGCGTGC